CCTGCGGGCGGGGGTCACGGACAGGAAGGGACAGGACACARCCGAGGGTGTCCGTGACCCCCGAAYGTKCCCGCTGCGGGCCCCGGGACGAGCCCCGGGCCACCAAAAACCCGCAGGCGGCTCCTGGAAATCCTCCTTGCCGCAGGACACGTGGAGCAGCGCTCGCTCCGGAAGGGGCTTGGCCCCACTGGCTCCGTGCGCCTCGGTGGGACCGAGATGAACCCCGAGAGGGGAAAATTTGGGATCCTGGCTGCCCCCCTCCCCTCCAGCGGGATTTCGGGACGCGTCTGGCGCGGGGCTGACGTCGCCGGGGTCATGCTCGGCTGTGCCAGCGGTTCTTATTCCCGGCGTCACCTTCCCGCTCGGAGCGGCTGTGGATCGCGGCCGGGATCGATGATCTCTGGGAAGTGAATCCCGGGGACACGGGAAGGGTTTGCCCGGCCTTGGGAGCTGGGTTGTGCTGTCGTGGCTGCCGGGCATCGCTCCCGGGCACAGCCCCTTCCCGGGCATCCGTCCCTTTGCCGTGGCAGCGGTTTGTCCCCGTGCCCCATCCCGAGCTGCGATAAAGTAGGTCAGGCGCTGGCTCCGAGCTCCGGGTCCCGGTGGAAGGACGCCCTTGAAGGTAGCGGGCAGGAGGCTCCGGGAGGCTCCGGGAGGATCATGGTTGGCGGAGGGGATGGCGAGGGTCGGTGTTGTTTGGTGTTTGCCGCATCCCGTTTGTCCCGGGATGCCAGGCTGGGTGCGCTGGGCACCGTCCTGCCTTGTCCTGGCATTCCAGCGGCTCGGAKCCCCCCGGGATGATCCTCTCCGGGCCTTTTTCTTCCTCAGGGGCGGCTCCTYCTCCTGCTTTTGCCCTAAAACGGAGCGAGTCTGTGCAGCTCCGGCCGCTGCCCGGCTCTGCCCGCTCAGCTCTTCCTGCCTTTCCTTTGGCAGCGGGGGCAAAGCCGAGTCCGGTTTTCCAGCCCGGGTGTATCCGGCTGAGCCCGGCTTTGGGAGAAACCCCCGGGAGGGGTTTTGGCAGCGGAGGGAGGTGCGTGCCTTGGCACGGGCCGGGCCAGCGGTGCGCAGGGAGCGGGGATATGGGGAGCACTGGGCTGGCACGGGCACCGAAGGGCGGCCAGCGCGACGTGCGGCCAGCYGGGACAAACTTTGGCACGGTGGGCAGCGTGCCAGCCGCTGTGGGACTCACCGGCTGGCTGGGTGTCCCGTGTGGCTCAGGAGAACCCATCTGGAACCACCTGGAAGCCCCTGGAAGGGTGGATTGGGATGGGRAGGCAGAGGAAGGGTCTGGGGGTGMTGAAGGARCAGAGGTCCCGTGGGTCCCCCCACCCAGCAGGGGATTCCCAGCWCCCTCGCTGGTTTTGGGAGGAGAGGGGTTAAGTCAAAGCATCCGAGCTAAGCCCTGGCAGGAGGAGGTTGAAAGCTCCCTGAGAACAAAGCTCACAAAGTGGTGGTAAGCTGGTAAAAACCTGCAGGAATGTGGGAGCCTCCGGGGGGAATGGGGTTCTGGGTGGGGAGCGGGGTCCTGCAGTTCCCCGGCATCCCCTTGGCCTGGAAATCCTGGCCTCRGGTTATTTTTGGAACAATTGCTTGGCCGGGCTTCAAAAATATCCTGAGCTGGTTTTTTGGAGGAGCCTGGAGCCGTCAGCACAGGCCAGGGCACTGCGGGGTGTCCTGGGGTGGGGTGGGGAGCGCCCGGAGCCCCCGGGAAGGGGGATCAGGAGGTGCCCCTGGAGCCCCACGCTGGGATCAGGATGTCTCCTGCATCCACAGAGAAAGGAGACTTTTATTTCCTCCTTGCTAATCCCGAATTCACCCTCAACCTTTCCGGGAAGCTTTTCCAGGAAGGCGTCYCGAGGCTCTCGGGTGCCTCCCAAGGTGGACGTGCAGGTCGTGCCCGCCGTGCCCCCCTCTCCCTGAACCCCTTCCTTTGCTCCGTGCCACCCCTCTTTTATCGATTCCCGGCGCCCATGAAAGGAGCAGAGAGGGCAAGGATTGATTCTGGGCAAACACTATAAAGGCACCTCCGTTTGGAGCAGGGGAGGCATTCAGTTCATGGTAATTATCCTGGTTAAATTATAACCTCATCAACARGCCACCTCTGTCCTCGGGGCTCCCGTGTTCTCGGAGCGCCAGCATTGAGCTCCCGGAGGTGTTTTTGTCCCAGCCTGGTGACACTGAGGGGACCCACGCGTGGCCAARGGCTGGAGAGAGCTGGCTTTGGGGYKGSMMSGGSTTTKGGGKKG